TCTAATTCAAAATGTCAAAAAAGCAAACTGGTCATGCTGCTTCCTGATCAGTTTCCTCTCCTGATCTCTGTGTGTCTCTTATCCTCCAGTCCCCAGGCTGTACCCTAAAAGCCGGAGTCAGAACCACAAAGACCACTAGGAAGTACTCATTTCTCAAATTATCCAGATGGAATATTTCTGAGGGACAAAAACAAATTCCAGGGCCTCTCCTGGTGGTGTAGGGGTTAAGTACTGGTACCATCATCACCATGGCCTGAGTACAATCTGTAGCCAAGGAGTAAATCACATGACACAACAGACCTCTCCTGTCTCTCCACATTCTTCCCTTAACAGTATGTCTCAGCAGATCTGCCTGTTCTGCTCCCCACTCTGTCTCTGATGAATCCTCTCAAACCACCCCCTGCCATACCTCTGGCCTATACCCCAGTTCTTTTAAGCACAAAAGGTAACGACTAATCTTTTTTAAAAGATTCTAATTCATCTTAGTAACCCTAGTGCCTGGCAATCTGAACAAGTGGCAATTTCTCAATAAATATTTATAAAAACATATAATTAGAAAAATAAGACAAGAACTTCCATAAAGAAAGATTTCCTTTGTAGAATTTAAATTTCTTATTAATTTATCCTTAAAATATCAATGGGAGTCCCAGTTGATACTTTAATGGTAATAAAAGAACAGTCACTATAAAAGCATTAATACAGGAAAAATCTCTTTAAATTTGAGCAGAAGAACATTAGTAATGGAATATAGAGGAAAAAAAACAATGAACTAGAGACAAGACTATCAACAAGAAATAGAATTTCTTTTTTGTCCCTTACATTGTTATTCATTTATGTACAATATTTGATTCCCCCCCTCTCAGTTATAGCCCCCAAAAATTCTCCCACCAGCACAGCACCAGAGAAAGAAATGGTCTGTCTTTTTGAGCTCATCTCTCATGTAATCATGTGACTTTGTTGTACTTCTAAAGTGACTTCAAATATTGATGATTGCATTGACACATGTCAATTCAAACTGGTAAAAAGTTTTCATGGGACTCTCTAATTTTGAAGTCGAACAGCAACAAATTACAATAAGTATTCTGTTCTTTAGAGTTGCTAACTTCTACTCCTCTCCTAATTTATTTAGCTCACTCACTCCCACGGAGCTAAGGGATGAAACACCTGTCAAAGAGAATCTTCTTTCTTCCATCAGCAACTTAGAGCCTCATTATTTATGAATGTTGTGGAAGGAAAAATACATATAATCTAGCAAATTGGACATCTGACTATTTCCCTACAAATACCAATCAGCATGCCATGAAAGTTCAAGATGTTTTGAACTCCCTGTACAGAAACCACACAGTCGGCCAGAGAGCACTGAACTGGGTCATCTGATTTGTCTAAGAGCTCTATCATGATTAACTACATATACATGTCATGATTAACTACTATACAGACTCACACCAGTTCATTCCTTCAACAGACATTTTCCTGAGTGACTACTAAGCATCAAGTATTATACTAGATGATGGTGGCCAAGGAGAAAACATGCAAAGCCATGAGAACGAGGAAATGTGGTACATTGGGAAAGTGTTGGTGATTCCTGGCTATGAGGATATGGAGCAATGAAGCTTGTCAATCTGTATTTGTTCAAATTCCCAACTAGGAGCAGAACCTAGGAGCCACAGTAACTGCTAGAAATGATGGATAAGGGGAGAGGAAAAAAGTAATCAAGGACCATCTAACTGAGGCAGAATAGATGGGATTCTCTTCACTGAAACAAAAAATGCAGGTGAGATGCGCCAAAGGATAAGTTTTAAATTTGGGGGTAAAAAAACTGAATGAGTATGGAACAGCCAAATGAGGCAACGGCAGGTAGTTGGATCTATAAGCAAGAGCTAGGGTAATGGTATGAGTAGGAGAGGAGGGTTTGGAAAATGCCACAGTTCAGTCTTTGATTGAAGCCACAGCATAATGGGATTGCTCAGATAAAATCTTCAGAGTGAGAATTCAGAGAAATAGGGGGTGAAAAGGTAAGCGGGAAAGAGCAAAAGTGTGAGAGAGGTAGAGAAAGAGAATATGTGAAATAAGCCATAGAAATCAAGACAAGAGATATTGCAAAAGGATCCAATAGGGACAAATTCTTTGGGAGAGGTGAAGTAAAATGAGGACCTAAAAAATGTCCATTATATTTGACAACTAGGCAGCTATTTGTGACCTTAACAAGTTCCATTTTAGTACGGCCAGAACTCAAGTTAAAATGATCATGCAGAGCCTCCCTGGCGGTGCAAGGTGTTAAGTCTCAGCACTAGGAAGCTACTGGCAGCCATTGCAGCAATAAGTTCGATCGTAGCCAGGGAGCTGACCCTTATATGGTGCAGCAGACCTCTCCTGTATCAGCTGCTGTGCCCCTCAGCAGCATATTTCAGTGGATCCACCTGTTCTGCTCCACACTGTGTCTGGTGAATCCTCTCACTCCCCTCCACCTCTGGCCTGTACCCCAGTTCTTGTATGCATAAATAAAACAATCTTTAAAATAAAATAAAATGGTCATGCAGGGTAAGTTGGAAATGAATTAGAAGTATAGCCTATGCTTTAAGGAGAACTAACTCTAAAAATCAGATAGTTGAAAGTGGACAAAGGGTTCATTTCACTCTTTTTGGAAAATATTATTGTCATGTTTTTAGGATGAGAGACTTAAATATGTATGTTCTGCATTTTATTCCTGGCCTCCACAATGCTGCGTCCTGGACAGTGAAAGCTTGAGTAGAAGTAAGGAATGCCATATCCAGGCCTGGCCATAGGAATCCTCCCTTTTGATTATCAGCCTTATCTACTTGACAGTTAGATGCCAAAACCTGTAGAGGACTCTGAAATCTTGGAGGTGACAGAGGTATCAGTTGGAAAGGAGCAGAAGGCCACCTCCTGAACACCCCTTGGCAATAGTATGTGAGCAAGAAATCAGCTTGAAGTTGTTTGCCAGAAGGGTTAGTTTACCTTACCAAAGCACAAAACAAAACTACCTCTAAGACATCTTTTTAAAAATAACGTGCTTATTTATTTGTCAGGATGAGGGACTGAATTCTCTGAACTTTCACTGCCCTATCTATAAAATAGGGATGATAATGCCTCTTCTGCTTGCTCCATTGAGATATTGTTTGAACAGATGACATGTTGTGAAAGATTCTGAACTACTATGTAAAGGGCAATGATGTTACATATTTATAAATCTGAAAATATGGAGTTATAAAAGTTCAGAGTCCAGTGAAATATGGTTGGCTACAAAATCAATGAAACATTATAATCAGTCTAGAGATAGAAATATTAGGAAACATGTCTTTTGAATACAGCTACAAGTTACTGACCCCAAATCTTAGCGCTAACAATCGATTGCTAAGTCCAATGCGAGACAAAGTTATTCTGGTGCTCCCAGGGTACAGCCTGGGTTTCCAGACATCTTCATTCCAGCAGAAGAGAAAAATGCCAAGGAACCTTGGCAGATTGCTGTGCATTAAGTCATCTGGGAATCTGTTAGGCTTATGAGTAGTAGTTCTTAAATGAATACTTCTGGCAATCACTCAGTTCCACAAAACAACAGACTAGCTCCATAATTTAAATCCCATGGTCAGTGAAATCACAGTGAATGGCCATAACTTGCTGAGTATGTTCTCCTAAGGAGTGATTAAGGTATTCTGGGAAGTAAGCTAGCCATTTCAGTACTTCCTCCTGGAAAGACTAACCAACCACCCAAAAGAATATAGTCCAATCATATTTCACTGGTCACGAGACCTTTAAAGATGCTACAAAGAACATTATTTTTAGCACTATGACATCAGTGTAACTAGTTTTTCTCTCTTAAACTGTCTAACAAGTGATTTTAACAAGCCCCCATCTCCCTGCCATGGGAAGATACCTTATATCCATAAAAGAAAAGTGTCACTTCCCTTTTCTCTGAACTTTTGGACAACTCCCTTCTGACTTGGTTTCCCAATCACTGTGTCTCCCCCTCAGTGACTATATTTCCAAGGTGCAGGGTGCTTAATTAGGCTCTAGCAGCTGTGTTTCCAACTCCAAAAGAAATTGTATAGGCCTAAATAAACTACTTTGCTGTAGATATTAAAGATCTTGTATGGACACTCAAATCATCCTTATTTGCAATTATTTTACTATGTTTTTTTTTTAATCTAAATGGAGCTTCTTTATCCATGTTTCTCAAATATTTCATCCTTAATGTTTGACACTCCCATGTGTAGCTATTAAACTAAGCCAGATGGCTAAAGGTCATTTTTTAGAACATTTTATCCACTACAAAGCTGAATTTCATCCTCCAACTAAGAGTCAATGAAGCATTTAGCAATTACCTCAATCAAAACTACAAAGAAAGAGACAAAAATTCATGTTGCTCTCAAACAAGATCCCCAAACATTTACGGGTATTTCTCATAGATTTATCTCATTTAATATGAAAACAATTTTTGTAAGATTATTATTCTCTACCATAACCAATGAATGGAGGAGGTTGCTGAGGCCCAGAGAGTTTGAGAGCATTCCCAAGGCCACATGGATTTTCAGGACCAGATCAGGTCTATATGGCCCTCTGCTTTCTCAACTGTTTCCACTGTGCTAATGGCCCCATGTCAGCCACTGTATTTTTATTTCACTTCTCTAACAATAATGGAAAAAGCCTGGCTTCCTCTGCAGCCATTAAGAATCTTTGATGAAACACAGACATGAATTCAGTTCTCCCGCCAATGAAAATACATAATAATGTATTTATTATATAAGGAATGTTATGGGATCATCAGTGGTGTGGAAAACTTTTTAAAGGAATGTACAGACGATGCTTGGAATCCTAGAAAAGCCAGAGATGATACTACAAACAAATGACCAAATGTGGAATGGGTGAAAATTCCATAAACAACCAATATTTTCATTTGAACGGTTTGTTTTTATTACGTGTTTCTCTTTCATGGAAAACTCTGGTGTTTGAAAAAATTTCAAATGGAGATCATGACTAACCTGTAGATTGAGAAAGAAGCCACTGATCTAATGAGGGATGCCAGGGCCCCCACTTTGGCAGCTTCCACAGCCCCCTGGACTCGATATTGCACCGACTGTGAGTAGTTGGTGTAAGGTTGATTATAAACAACAATCTTCCCTTTTGCTTCTGGGGCCCTTCTCTGCAGTTCATCGAAAGAGGTCACCACCAAAACTTCTGCTGTAATGCCTAGAAATAAAAGTCATACAAGATAACTTACGGTTTCCAATCAGTCAAGTTGAATTGGCACACAATAGGTTACACATGCTCAGTCTGCTACATCTGGCAAACTGATTTGAGAAGATCAAAGTTTTAGAGTCATTTGCCATGGGCAAAAGATTTTAGGGGTTAACTAGATTCCCGAGAGAGAAAACCCATTCAGCATTACAGAATATATGACTCATAAGGTCTTTCAACTCACTTGACCAGCTGGTATTAAATCATAAATTGCTTGAAAAGATAGTTTCCCGCCCCCCCCCCATTCCTGTCTTTCCCACCCTAAGAAGTCATGAGTTTCATAGACTGATGTTAATTATTAATAATGAAAATGCCATTTCAGAAAGTGTACCTTGGGCTTAATGAAACACATATTTATCTCTTAATAAAACCATTTTTATACATTGCTAAACAGCTTTCACTGACATCAGGCAAAAGATGACAGTTCATGAATGGTCTTAGCCAACAATCTTCATAAATCCAACTTTGAACAAATGGTTAATGTAACGCCCCCAAGAACAAAATGTCAGCTTGATTTCTTTTCTCCTCGGTGTAAAACACTCTTAAATGCATTCATGGGTACAGAACTTCTCGTGTTCCTCAATTTATTCTATTTGCTCATCATCAATCGCATCACTTATTCTTCAGATAAAAATTCTGAAGACAGATATGATTGTCCTATAGTCTTCCTGTGTCACTTTCCTCACAGCACAGGACTTGTCCAGGCCTCCCTAATGTGGGAACAGGGTTTCACAGTTTCCAAGCAGTCATTAGAAGATGCCAGACCACGGACGATCCAATTTGATGGAGCAGTTAGAGTGACAAGGAAAAAAATATTTAGTAACAAAGGCCAGATGCAGTGGCTAAATATAAAAATCTGAAAGAAAGTGTCAGGCACTACTGTTTTGTGACTTCAGCCATGCAGTCATGAAATGTTAGTAAAAACTGAAGTATCAACATATATCTGGCATATTTCCTTAATCTAGCAACCAGAGGAATGGGCTTTTCTGAAACATTAAAAGACATCATTAAAATATTAACTGTTATTTGGAAAATGCTTTCAGATTACATTGCCAGGTACAAGAGAATTCTTGATTTCTATATAGGACCCATCATAATGGACCCTTGGGAGCAGGTCCCCTCTTCTGTCTGGTTTCACCACCCAGAATAAATCTGCACTTTAAAGTGATTGAATATAGAACCATAAACATGTCTCCACCAACATTCAGAACTCAGAATTTGATTATAATCCAAAAAAGCAATATGCAATTATGGAAAGCGAAGAAGCCACTAGCTTTCTCACATGATAAATAAATGTAAAAATACAAATAAGGGTTTAGCTAGACAGATGCAGAGATTCATAACTTTTTAAAACCTGAAGTTACCTTGAAATTTGACTGGCGTTATTGTTGGCATAGGATGGGAATGCTGTTGATGGCTTTCAGCTGTTCCTAATGAAGAACAGGTTTAGTGGTCCACCCAAGGGATATCCTAGCATTGGGGTAATTTTGGTGTCTGGATTGGAGCCACTAGAAATGAAGCCAAATTTCTATAAATTTTCATGGGCCACTGCAAAATTAAAGTCATATGAGGGTGGTACTTTATTATGGTCTATACTATAAGCTCTTTTAACAAATGAGAGTAATAGAGTCCTGAAAACCCAAAGCCTAACCTAGGTACCATATTCACCAAGGCAAATTACCAGTAGAAGTCAAAACCTATTACCATGACATTGGTAGAAGAGCTCAGATTAATCTGTTTTCCTGAAAGCTTAGTGTTACTCCTAATTCTGTGTCTCACTTACCCCTATGTCTCATCAGTCCTCAATACAATATTTAGGTTCCTGGTTCCACTGTTACACTCTCTTCAATCAAGCCTTCATCACTTCTCTTTTGAACTACTGTTGAGTTCTAGCTTCCTGACTCTCCTGTCACCCCTGATGTCCCTGCCTCCAAGCTCAGCTTTCACCTATTTAACCTCAGTGAGGTACCAAAGTGAACTACCTGTCTTGCTGAGGGTCAGAGCAGACGAAGTGACTGTCCCCTTGCCTTTTCAACCTGCTGAACAACCATCATTTCCACATTCCATTGTAAGCCTCTCTACAGAGTTTTGCTCCTTTTTTTTTTAATTCCATAAATTCTAAACCTAAAAGGTTTCTATTCTCACATCATGCTAGTTTGCTCCTCCATGACTTTGTCCACATCGTGGTTCATTATGCCTGTTGACCCCATTCTCCAAACTTCATTATGTGACTAACACCTACTTATCCCTCAGGATGCTACTTAAACATCACTCCTTTGGGGAGCATCCCCTGATCTCTGAACACTTGTCTCATTGTCCTCTCCTGCACTCCACCCAGGCCCTGGGAAGGCTAGCTAATGCATCATAATCCTCTGGAGTTTCAAAGTCCCCTGGGCATATCTATCTGGGTGATGGCCAGTGAAATTCAGCCTATTTATGGCTCTCTATCACCTAACTGTGATCTCCTCAGGGTTTGCAGTCATGTTCATTCTTGTCAGAAATCTCCAGGACCTAACACCATGCTCGGTATGTGTATCGGCATCTATTCAATAGACTCCTTGAATGGCGCTGCTCCAAGTGAACACTATTAATTGGCTCTAAAGTATTTCCATAAAAGTGTAATTTTATCTGTAAAGTTTGATAGTGCTTCTCCCACAGTAGTTCAGCAGTCTGATTCTCTTTGCTACCCAAAGTACAACTATACACACACACACACATACAAGTCAAGCAAAAATGCCTTGGGCAGTCAGAATAAAAATATAAATTCCAATATGAAAACTCAGGTAGTTGAACATAAAAAAAAAAATTCTGTTCTTTCTTTGAAGCTAGTTACTCTTATTTCACACAAAATTCTAATTCTGGTATTTAAACCTATGGACAATGTAAAATCAACAAATCAAAAGGATGAGATATGTCTGGAACCTGATATCAGTCCCACAAAAAAACAAAACAAAACAAAACAAAAAACAAATAATGGTACCTTTGAAGAAATTCTGAAATAACTTTCTAAAAGGGTAAAAACATTCTACACCTGAGCTGACAAGTGGCCACTTGTCACACGGAGCTACTGGGCACTTCAAGTGTGCCTAAAATTCAGAAACTGAACTCTAAATGTCCTTTGTTTTAATTGATTAATATTTACATTTAAATAGCCACAGCTGTGTAGGAACAACTCTACAGGACTCACAATAGTGAGTGTCCTTAACAGGGATAGAGAAAGCATCTCTCCCAGCCCTATGGGCCCGTCTTCACGACGTCCACAACAGAGGGGCTGGTTACAGTGGTGACCTCTTGCAGCAAGCACAGCCCAGCAGGCCACATTTGGTACCTATCACTTGGGAATGCAAGGGTGTGCTCAGAACATTTAAGGGAGATTTTTGCTCCAACTGAACAAAATAAAACTAGGCCATCTGGAAAACCTCACTCCTACATGAGTGTGTATTTTGACACTTGTTACAGAAAGGAAATACTCATGCTCTCCAACAAATCAGCAGGTTCTGTTCTTATTCTCAACTCCTTCTTCCTACTTTTCCATTCTAAAAGACAGCACATAAACATTTCTATAATAACAGATGGCTTACCTTAACCACCTGTTTATAATCGCAATCCACTCCCACCCCCTGAACCATTATCTCGTTTAGTTTCTCCATAGCATTTATCAGCTTCCAGTTTGCACTACAATAATGTAAGCTGCCAGGGATGCGGGGTGGGTGGGGTAGATATTCTCCCTGTATTTATTTTATTTATTAATGTTATCAAAGTGCCTGAAATAGTTCCTGATATATAATGTGAACATTGCACACATTCATATGCACATGTGCACACATGCATACATACATACATACATTGAATGAATGAAGAGAAACAAAAGTAAGTCCTTATCGCCTACCAAAGATGCATACTCCCAAATACATGCGTATTTCTAGAGGTTCCAATCATTGATGATAACAGATATAACTGAGATTCACTAATGTTCACCACAAAACTGCAAAGTAGTTATTAGGAGGATACTGTGATGAAGAAAGATAATTTTACACAACTACAAGGTGCTGAAACTGATTTGAATCATTGCTCCTGAATCCAAGGTTCACGCTCTTCCTAACTGCTTTGTTGTCTTCTTTCACAAGTGTAAAACACAGCAAAAAAAAAAAAAAAAAGTCAGGATTTTCATTTTAAGAAGAATAAGAAAGTAAAATACCATATAAAAGTCTGTCTGAATTGTCAATCACTTTTCTTAGGTTGTTGCTCATATATCTGGGTGCTATTATCTCACCATGTCCTAATCTCTTACAGGGAAGCAGGGGAGGATGCTTCACTCTAGGACAAGAGTCATCAGACTGACAGAGGAAGGAAAAGGATTATAGTAGTCAATTCTGAAGAAAACATGGAACTGAAACTAAGCATACTCATAAAGTGAGTCTCCTGGCGACAGCAGATTCTATCATAAAAAAATAGTAAAAATATCTTTCTCTCCTTCACACCTAATTTTCAAAATTGACCCATTTAATTTTAAGCAACTTTCCCTATGGGCATTACTACCATGATCTTGCAGAGACAACAGATGCCAGCTTCTTGGTGTTATGTTGCACAGGCAACACTACACTGATAAATGGGAGCCGTGGAGCAGGCTGCAAACAGGATGCTGCTGTAGAGCAAAATCCTGGCCTCTTCACTGTTAGAATAATCACACAGCATCAGTGGTAAGGAGAAGGAGGACAAAAAAGAAATGGGGAGGGTGAGAAAAAGTGCTTTGTCATCTAGAGTGTGAGGGGTTTCAAGTCTGCTCTCCAGACTCCTCTTAGCTGTCTGATATGCTGTATTATGACTAAGATCAAGCTCTAGATCCCCAGCCAGGGTTTCAATCTTATCAACAAGGCTTTCCACTAATCAGCTACTGGGGTCCCTTGTCACACATCAGTCAACAGCTCCCCAGGTATTCCCGGTCATGCTTC